ACCATCATTTTCACCTTGCTATTAATTTGTTTGTTTGTTTGGTAGGTTAATCTTCACTTCTTATTATTTCAGACACATCTCGCTAGTGATGTTGCTGATCTCTGGCTTTGAGCCCTACCGCTCTGGCCGTTCTTTATCTTTACTTAAGTCATAGCGACTAAAGCTTGCTTAAGATTGATTTCTTTATCTTTATCTTCACGCAGGAGCGAATGACAACTCCTTAAATAAGCCTGAATGTCCTTTCGAAAACACACTTTTAAGAGTGGTGTTTCTTCGACTAATTTTTTTTTTTTTTCCACGCAGGAGCGGATGACTACTCCTTAAATAAGCCTTAATGTCGTTTCGAAAACACACTTTTAGAGTGGTAGTCATTGAATGTGAACTCCACCCTTACCTGAATGGCAGATGATGTATGTAAGAGATAGTATATCTGATTTTGCCTGGTGATGTCTGTTTCTGCAAAGCTGTGTTTTTATGGTTTATTTTAGAATGTATATATCAAAATTTTTGCTGAGTCAAAAAATTTCCAGGGTCGGGGGGAAAATGTAGTGTTATACTACTTACGTATCATTTTACATTATTTTAAATTCATTTTTCCATTCTGTTTCGATTTTCTGCATTCACCTCAAAACTGGATGTTTTACATCACCTTTATTTCCATAGGATCCTGTAACGATTTTAAACCATAAGAACACAATAACAAATCATTTCTACTTCGTATTTTCACATTATCAGCACTTTTAAATTGGTGTCAACGGAGTCTACCTTTTTTCGATCTTTTAGCTAGTTTTCCGTAATTCTACAATCTCGAGCTTTGTGTGGGCAGCTGCGCTACCTTTTTTCCTATATCAATAATATCTCATTTTCCACTTAAATCTTACCGTTTTCTTATTATAAACCAAAAATAAAAATTTGACATATTTTGTCTTTCTTATTTATATGGTTTCCATGGAAATTATATTCAAATTTGCTACCGACCTGTTATTCCTATTTCGATAATTACACATAAATCCTCTTTTCTCTTGACCATTTACAAAAAATTTGCGTATAATTTAAATAATTTTTCCGTTCTCTCTAGAAAGGTATAAAAGCCGAACAATCGGTGAAGAAAGGCAGTCTCGCTTCAGTTCGCGAATTGGAAGTATCTCCTAAAGGCCTTATCCCGGGGCCGCACTGCCCCGGGATCCTGCAAGCCTCCATTTACACGTGAAGTCTTCGGCGAAGCCTTCTTCAAACTCGGGCCGCGCCACTCCGGAATCCTACAAGCCTCCATCTACCTCGGAAGTCGCTTCGAGTCTACTACAAGCGCGGGGGCCACACTACTCCGGGCACTACTACTACTTACTCCAGGCGCCGAGTGCACCTACCGCCGGCGCTACCTTTGGGCGCTGCAACTGCTGGCTCTAAGCGTTGCGCGCCCCTTCTCCAGGCGCTACGTGCGCCGGCTCCGGACGCTGCGTGTACTGGCTCCAGGCGCTGCGCGCCGTCGCTGCTAAGAAACCTACTTCTACAAGCGCAAACGGCGTGTGCTGGCTTCAGGCGCTGCGTGCCGTCGCTGCTAAGAAACCTACTTCTACAAACGCAACGTGTGTCGCTTCGACTTTTAGGCCCCACTTCAACGCTATATTCCCCTATTCTCTCACCTTTATTTTTTTTTTTATAATCTAATTGTATTCTCACTTCATCCATCATCATCCTCACATCATTTTTTTTATAAAATTGTAAATACCTTTTATAAATTTAAATATATTGTTTTCTGGCTCTACTTTTGTTGTTTTGTTGTACGTAGGTTAGGTTCTATATTTTTTTTTTATTGTCGCTTCACGACAGCCCTTAAATTAATTATTTCATATTTAAGTAAGAGAACGCAAAAAGTTGTCATTAACAATATGAGCTCTTCCGGATCGATGGTACAAATGGGCGTGCCTCAAGGCTCAATTCTCGGCCCCTTTCTGTTTCTTGTATACATTAATGACTTACCTTACATAGTAGGGGATAACCATGATATAGTATTATTTGCAGATGACACTTCTTTAATTTTCAATTTAAGTCGACAGCTACTAAAATATGACGAAGTAAATAATGCTATCTCTAAATTAGTAAATTGGTTCGATGTTAATAATTTGCATTTAAATGGCACTAAAACAAAATGTATGAAATTCGTGACTCCAAATGTCAAACAATTAAATACTAATGTAATTTTAAATGGGGAGAAACTGAGTCTTGTAGATACCACCATTTTTCTTGGAATCACACTAGACGCGAAGCTTCAATGGAGCCCCCATATATCAAAACTAGCAAGCAGACTTAGTTCTGCAGCATATGCTGTAAAAAAGATTAGAAGTTTAACCAGTGTTGAAACAGCTAGACTAGTTTACTTCAGCTACTTCCATAGCATAATGTCGTATGGTATTTTGCTATGGGGACACGCAGCTGACACTGAAATTATATTTGTTTTGCAGAAGAGGGCCATAAGAGCAATTTATGATTTAAAGCCTAAAGAGACGCTGCGACAAAAATTTAAGGAAATTAATATATTAACTTTGGCCTCTCAATACATTTATGAAAATGTAATGTACGTACACAAAAATAAAAGTAGTTTTACAAAAATAAGTGATATTCATTCTGTAAATACTAGGAACAGACACAAGCTAGTAGTACCAGTTACTCGACTCCATCGAGTCAGTAATTCATTCTTGGGGCGATGTATACGCTTTTACAACAAAATTCCAGAAAATATACAAAGGTTGACCTGTTCAAAGTTCAAAAACTTTATTAAACTAAGTTTGTATAAAAAGGGTTATTATAATATTAAGGAATTTATGGATGATAATAACCCCTGGAAATGAGGTGATCGCTACCAAGCTATTTCTAATTTGTTGTGTTGTTAATTTGTGTAACATCATGATTGTAAGCTGTTATTTAAAAAAAAAGTCCCGCTGGGTTTCTTGCTGGTTCTTCCCAGGACAGAGGTTTTTTCCGAACCAGTGGTAATCAAACAAAAGAGTGACTTTCAATAAGTATTATTTATAATCTATATTGAATAAAAAAGTTTCTGTTTCTGTTTCTGTTTCTATGATGAAAGCCATTTTAGCACCGGGCCTGAAAACGCATAATACGATAATTTTTCAATAAGTATTCCGTGTGGAACTTTGTCAAATGCCTTTTTAAAATCCGTATATATGGTATCCACTTGTTTCTGCGAGTCAATAGCTTCTGATAATGAGGAAGTGAAACTAACTAAATTAGTGGTGGTAGACCTACCTGGCAAAAATCCATGTTGATGTTCAGAAACGAAACGTTTGAAATGCATTTGAATTATTGGACAAACTAAAGATTCGAACACCTTTGCAAAAACCGAGAGAATTGATATGGGTCTATAGTTGCGTATATCTTTCTCATCATCGCTCTTAAATATTGGAACTACTTTTGCTTTTTTCCATAAAGCTGGAAAAGTACCCGAACACAGCGAAGCTTTACAGATAAGATATAAAGGCAAAGTTAGGCTAGTTGCGCTATTTTTTATAAATACCGGTGGTAAATTGTCCGGTCCTGCACCTTTGCTAATATCGAGACCCTTCAGCTTTTTGAAAATTTCATCCTGATTTATTTCTATACCTGCTAGATTTTCACTAAAGCCTAAATAGAGGACTTTTCGTAAATGAGATGACGGATCTAAACGACAGGAACTATTTGAATCATCATATACCGAAGCGAAATAACTAGAGAACATATTACATATTTCAACTCCTCTAGTAGAAGTTTTAACTCCGTTATTCATAACAGCTGGATACGAGTTAGAATTATTGCGTTTACTCTTTAGGAACGTCCAAAATGCTTTCGGATTCTTCTGAATTTGCTTTTCCAGATTTTCGTTATAATTGTTGTAGGCATCACGCGTAATTCTATTACAACGATCACTAAGCACTCTTAGTTCTATTTCATCCATTGGATTATTATATTTTTTTAATCTTTTTAACATTTTGTGCTTTTCTTTAATTCTTTTTGCAACATTGTGATTGATCCATGAAGGATACCTATTACTCTTAATTTTTTTTAAGGGAACATAATCTGTGATAGCAATTTGTATACTCTCGTAGAATACTCTAACCATTTCATCTATATCATCTAGGTCCAATAATGTATGCCAATCGATTCCCTTCAAGTACTCATTTATAGAATTATAATCAGCTTTATAAAAATTGTATCGCTCATGTGAAGTATTAATCATAAGTATATTTTGTCTCACATTAGGTATGTTTATTTCAAGGGGAGGATGCATTGGGTCAATATTACTGATTGGATTATAAGAGTAACTAACGGAACATACAGGTAAGTCTACGAGTACAAGATCTAGTATCTTTTGCCTATTATTAAGAATAGAATTACATTGGCGCAAGCCATTTTCCGTTATGAAATCCAATAAGCTCTGTGCTACTGGGGGAAAGTTACAGTTAGCAGGGTTTGAGGATACATTCCAGGTAATACAGCTAAGATTAAAGTCGCCAATTATGCATGTTAACATATTGTGTTGCTCCGAAACTCTATTACAATTATTTAAAAAAAATTCCAATATGTTCTTATTTACTGGAGGTGGAATATATATACCACAAAAAGCTATATGGCGTATGTTGTTAAAGTGGGGCACATCTACAACCACCCACAAATCTTCACAATCGCTTTCCCATAGATTAATTCTATTTGAAATGATGTTTTTCTTGACAGCAATTAGAACGCCCCCACCGTCAGACTTAGTACCAAGTTTTGCAGTCTCTCTGTCTCTTCGATACACGTTATAACGTATATCAAATAGTTCACCACTTGAGATTGAGCTATTTAACCAGGTTTCAGTCAAAATAATAATGTCATAATCATTAATTATTATGTTACGGTAAACATCTTGTGTTTTGGTTCTAAGTCCGCGAACATTCTGGTATAACATATTAATCGACGCGCCTTTTAAGCATTATGACACCATGACGTGACCTCAACCTTACATTTTAACTTAAGTTACTAAGAAAGTCCATATTTTTAACTACTTTATAATCAGAATTATCATCCTTGCGTATCAGTATACGACCATTTCGAACCCAAACATATTTGTAATCTTTTTCTTTAGCTTTAAGTCTCGCCGCGGCATGTAGAGCTTTATTCCCAGGTGACAGATGTTCCATGATATAAATGGGTTGTTTTTCTTCACTTAGCCCGATTCCAATGTGTGACGTATTCAATTTATCTCTAGGGTTGCTTTTATTATATTTTATCACCGCAGCCATAACACTGTCCCTGGTTAGCGGAGAATTAAATTGTACTATGACAGATCTCGGTCGAGTACTTTGACGATTTACCTTAGCAACTCTCGTAACATTCGCAATTTTGTCTGAGGTTATATCTAACCCTATGACACTGCCCAACTGTTCCACTATTTTGATCAGATTTTCGTTTTTTCTTTCAGGAACACATTGCAATTCCAAGTTATTGTATCTAGTTCGCTGTTCGAGCTCATTTACCCGTGTGTTTAGGGCGTTTATAGTCGCCTCTAATTTAGTATTATTTTCTTTAAGATCCTTCACAGCTGTTAGATTTGCACAGTGCTCTTTCAAGAAATCCTCGTATTGGCTGTTTATAAAATTTATGGAATTTTTCATGTCTGTGATCTCCTCCCTTATTACTTTTAATTCACTATTTAGTACGCTTTTTATAGAAGTTCTCATCTGTGTCAGCATTTCTTTCATTTCGGCCCTTACTGTTTCGCTCACCATCTCCCGTATATCATTTAGCTGAGAGGATTTTTCTGTGTTTAGTGACGAAACAGCAACTCTTTTAGTCGATCTTTTCGTGACATTCTGTTCGCTGCCTACTAGCGTGTTTTTATTACGCACAGGTGTGTTTTCGCTGTTACCTTTCGGCCTTCTTGACGTGCAGGCGGGACACATCCACTCAGTCGTGGATTCTGTATTTGTGCTGAACTGCCCGGTCGACTTCAAACACGCGCGGTGGTATCCGTGTTTACATTTCGCACAACACATGCAATCTTCATCGTCTTTCGCTTCGTTGCAACAGTTCAGCTGTATCTTTGACATATTTTTAGACTTATTAAATTATGATTTATTTTGTTAATTTTCCCTAATTTATATTTAAAGTGCTATGATGGACTGCACATTCAAATAAAAAAAAAAAAAAACTTTACCAATCCGAGGCTTGAACCGACGACTTTCGCCTTCGTAGTCAAGAAGTTGCCTGCTGAGCTATTTAACTATTTCTTTCAGATGCGAAAATTTTATTCGTAATACCACACTATTTACATATCTTTGTAAGTGGGTACTCACATGTAATCCCTTTGTAGTTTAATAGACGAACACAAAACTCAAATAAGAGTTAGCTTATCACACACCCTCAAATGAATGTATAATTGTGTCTTTTATTGTTTCGTACTAGCTTCTATATTTCACTTTGAATGATATATTAACACCAACTATGCACTACTATTGCACGTATTAGGCTATTATCACTTCAAAACTATATTTTTTCACTTTTTATACACTAGCGCGATGTTTATCGTGTCGCGCAACCATTCAATTCAATTTCAATATAATAATTATTATTATTACTATCCTTTTCATCCATTGCAGCCTATAAGAGGCCAAAGCTGAACATAGGCCTCCCCCATAGTTTGCCTCTGATTGGGGAGATTTTGCTCTAGTTGCCACACTTTGTTGGCAATCGTAGTTTTTTTTTATTATTTTCAGTTGTCATCAGGAAGACGCTGCTGCTCATCTCCTGTTTCAGTTTCCGTCTGTCGCCTCTTACGTCACTCATGGGAAGATATGGACTAGTGAATATTCTAATACCTTCATGTACACGGTGAATAATATTATAATAACCCTATTTAAACAAATATAACTAGTGGAGTAATGCGGTGTTGCGTTGTGTGTGTGTGCGCAGAGGGAGGCTGGCGTGGAGTACCTGATAATCACGCTGGACCGCTGTCTGATGTTCCCGTCGGTGGAGTACGTGCGGCGGCTGGTGACCAAGTGCGCGGCGAGCGGTGACGTGCCCGTGGTGATCGAGTGCACGCACATCTACAGCGCCGACTACACCGCCGCCAAGAGCATCGTGCAGCTCACGGCCGACTTCCACGAACGCCACCAGCCGCTCTACTTCTACAACGTGAAGCCGTCCGTGTGCTCCATCTTCGAGACGGTGGCCAAACCATAGCACTTCGTGGTGTTCTACGAGGACGACGAGCTGGACCGCCTGCTGGCCGCCGACGGACGCGTGCCCCCCGTGAAACCGCCGCCACTACGCTGAGCGCATAACGCATACCCACTATGCGCTCAGGGCGCATATATCCTGGTAGAGCCGTGCTGCAGTTATATTATAGTTGTAGCACGAATGAGTCGGCTCGACTGGGGAAGGATCACGTTCTCACAGACCAGCGTAACATAGCAGCTTGATGCTGCTGTGTTTCGTGTGGTGAATGTAGAGAACCGAAGACCCTTTTTAACCGGATAGCATTCCATCTTAGTCCCCAGGGATGACAACTTTCTGTATTTTGATTCTTAATCGTGGATAAATATGATGGATGAGATGTCTAGGGGCCACAGCATCCACTTATCATCGTGTGGGCTGTGTGCTCACTTGTCAACATTATTCAATAATAAAAGATTCATTCCTTTGTAAATATCTGTATGGGGGACCTTGGGATGGTGTAAGCCTGACGATAGTTGTATTGATGCTTGTTGCATTCTGTAGCATTGCATCTCTGCGATGGTTGTTTGGCGGATCGCTATTCTCAATGGCGCTCTCTGCGTCTTGGTTTGACTCACAACCTAAGTAGCTTTGCCCAAGTCGGGTCCCTTCATTACGGGGCTGCAGACTGTCTGTCCTCCATGATGTTTTATATAACAACTTAATAATATATCTCTATAAAGTTCCCACCTTTGAAAGATTGAAGGCAACTTGTTGGTGGGTGAGACAAACATGATCGAAAAATGCATATACTGAAAGTCAGTGACACAAACCCTTTCTGATGGCGAATTATTAATATTATCTTATAACTGCCTATTGGCTATATCTGCCATTGTATTGGTTGGTGGATATGTGTCGACCTCATGCGGGTGGTAGCTGGAGGGAGAATCTGAGGAGGCTCTCAAGGCTGCGGCCGAAAGCCGCGCAACGTGGGACCCCATTCCCTTGAGGTGAGCGGTAGACTCAAGACACGCTTTGCGGCCAATTGGCCGTGCTGACCATGCAATTGGTGGTGATGCCTTACACTTACATCACGTCTGCAGGAACGGCGGTCTGGTAGGTGGTGGCTCTCACGGAAGGCTTTTTATGGCCAGTGTGCCTATTGTTGCCTAACCCGTGTGACGTACATTCACTGTGGCTGGATTTGAATTGTATTCTGTATGGCGTTTACACGCATGTCAGCGCGACTTCGGTGGTCGATGTTTGTGCTTACGCACTATCAAGGGGCCAAGTTTCTCTCTCTTTTACTGGTTCGCCAGTTATTTTGCTGTGGACTACGGTCCAGTTCCCAACTTTGCGTACCCTTCGGGGGGAGCGCATTAAAATGGTTGGCGCTTACCGTGCGCGGCATGTGCGGAGCCGTGTACCTCCTACAAATTTTTTTTTAAATGTGGTAGAGCGAAGCCCTTGTATTTGATATAAATATTGTGAGCCTTTTCCAAGCGGGAAGGGATTAATTAATAAGGAATTGACTGTTGTGAACCAGATACAAGTGGAATAGGGACAATTTATTGTTCTTAACCTTTTTGAGCTCGGTCTTCGTAAAAGGGGTTCTTTAGCTTATAAGACTCTACCAACAGCTTTCGATTGCTCTCGTGAATATTCATTCTTCCAAGATACACCTATAATAACTAAGTTACTATACATACACAACGTAAAAAAGGGTCCTAACTAAGACGATCACGCCATAAATTTATTAAACGGCCTATATTTAAACCTTTAGAAAGATCAAGATATACTGGTCACATAAATTAGATATATTTATATATCTTACAGATATAGATTCTAAAGAAATACAAGTATAAGCGGATATATAGGAGAAAAAAAAAAGAGGGGGGGGGTTCGTTACAATGTCATTGATATGCAGAATAAATAGCGTTGGTGTGTAGTCGGAGCATGAGCGTGTTGCCAGTAGTCGGTTTGAAGAATTTTATTTCTCATAAAAACATACAATGGTTCACTTATAATAATGAGATGCAAAGTAATTATTATAATTTGATAATATTATAATATCTACCTCTAGTGCTGGAAGCGATATAGTCTTAGGTTATTTACTTATACATATTAGGTACCATGTATTAAAATGATTACACTGTGCGTACGTATTTTTTAAGTTTACTTTTAAACAATTTCATGTTATTGCATTTTTAATGTCATCTGGTAATTTATTGTTGTGCTTTTTTGCCATAATTAGTTCGTGCAGTCATTAATTGGAGTTTATTTTTTCTTCTTAAGTGGTGTTTTGTTGATTTTTATGTAACTGTATGTTTGATTGAATAGAATTTTTTTATTAGGTTGGTTGGTGGTTAGGTTGCAAATGCAATAAGTATGCAGTCTTATAAGATTTAGTAAGTTAGTTTTTTCGTATAATACATTTGTTGGAGTTAGACAATGGTAGTGAAATAATACTTTGATAACTTTATTTTGGCTTCTTTGAAGTGGATCTAGATTAGTTTTAGCGGCTGATCCCCATATCTCATATCAAAGAGTCAGCAGCTTAATGGCAGAACGCGGACCGCGATCTCGAAAGGTCGTGAACCACTTCTAACACAAGCATTTTAAGCTTACCAGAAGTGGTTTAAGGGAATATTAGTAATATTTAATAGCATTACTAGTATTTAAAAAAATATATCTCAATTAGATATTCGATATGTGATTTAACGAAAGAGTTGTATATAATTGTACGTTTGCGACTTTACGTAATGCACCTAGTAATAACATCAGTTTTGATTTGATTGATGTGCAGTATCCAAGTGAGTTTGGCTACTTTTAACGATCGACCACTATACCTCGGTTTAGGTAAGTAGCGATTTTCTATAATTCCGTGTATTATTTTTTGCAGATTAGAGTGCAGAAGGCAGTTTCTTAACTGGACGGACCTAACTGAAGCAAAAAGAGCGAAATAAATGAAGTTTTGTAAAATTTTAAAAATTTTATGTATTTACGACTCTAAGAGAACGAATTTTATGAAAATTTGTTATTAAACTGTGAAAATTTACTAAGAAAACTAGGGGAAACTACAAGGAGCAGTTAGATACACTATTTAAAAAGAAAATTTGAACGGAAAAGACCAATTTTCAGTAAAATTATTGTTACGGCCTACGGCTGCTCCCTTAAAGGGTCAAATCCTCAGGGGCCCATGAGCTGAAGACTTCCCGAGCAGACGTAGGTCGGACCTCAACGTGGCCACGTGGAATCTCTCTAATTACACTAAATATATGGGGGAGCGTTCTCTACTACGGCCAGTCAACCGGCAGAGGAATTAGGCGGAGCTTACTTACCTATATCCAAGGCGACTGGTTCCTCCGGAGTCGGTCAGGTCACATGTGGTTGTGTAGTGAAAGGGAAAGAAGGTGATGTGATGTGTATATGTGATAAGCAACAGTTAGTTCTAGAATATCAGGCCGCACTAGCTAATATTGCCGAATGCACTTATGCAGATTCTGAGTCAGACACAATGAGTCCCTGGGAAGCTCTCCAGCAGGAATACGCGTCACAATGGTAGACCGTATATTTACTGGCCGAGCATAATTATTCCGAGTTCCCGACAAAAATGACAGCGTGCTGTTCCAAGCACAGCTGACATACGACTCCGCCTTTTCGCTCGCGATCCGTGCGCCATTGCCACGCTCGGCTGAACTTCAACCGGTATCGCGCCGAGCCGAGTGACATCTGGCGTCGATTCTTGACAGCGTTTGGCGCGAACAAACCCCCGTCCCGGACATAAGGATTTAGGTCCGCGAGCAAACCGGTCAGTGGGACAAGGTCGCGACGGCAAGTTGCAAGACCGAATCTACAACCAAACTAGGCCACCTTAGGCACCCTATCAGAT